AGTTAGTTAGTTAGTTAGTTAGTTAGTAGTATATATATATATATATATATATATATATATATATATATATATATATATACATGTACATTTATATATACATATACATTTATATATACATATACATTTATATCTACGTATTCATTCCCAATTCCCTGACGCCACGTATTGAGCCCTCTATGCGCCCGTCCCATCCGCAGGAAATGACGTTCTACAAATTTGATGCCAGAGAGGTGGCGAATGCTCTGACCTTGCGCGAGGCTTCGCTGTTCCAGAAGATAATTCCGCAGAGCTTGGTCATAGACATTTGGACAAAAGGAGACGAAAAGAACCTTGTGTGTAGGCCATTATTCGAGCACACGGCCTGGTTTAACAGTATATCCGCGTGGGTGGCGACGGAGGTGAGTTTTTTTGTGTGAGGGTATGTGCATGGATGGTGGTATACTGATAGTTCTGGGACAAGCTTGTGTTTGTGCGTGTGTTGTTGTTATATTGTTTCAGTGTGTAAATTCTGTATGCCATAGGGTTGTGTAGATGTATCTCTGTTCGTATGTGCAGTTTGTGCATCCATGCATCATAAATATATATATATATATTGTGATATTTATGATGTCATATCGTATCATCTGTCATACCATAGCCATATCATATCCATTTCAACTGAAGGCCAGCGCTACTTGATATACACCACCCACGCAAGACAAGTATCATACACCACCCACGCAAGACAAGTATCATCAAGACTCGTCACTGTATCCTCATCCCAACACTTGCACTACCCTCGCAGATTGTGATGACGCAGGACTTGCAATTACGCACATACGTGATCGACATGTTCCTGCGAATAGTGAAGCACCTGCGCAACATGCGCAACTTCAACACCATGTACGCTGTTCTGTTGGGGTAAATTCGGGCCCTGTTCAGCGCTTGAAGCGTAGCTGGGAGTGGTCTCAGCAGTGAGAAGATTGAGCAGATGGAGAAGATGGACGAGTTGTTCTCGCCCTTATCAAACTT